ATGTCGTGTAGTAGGCTAGAAAGAAATATTCTTGTGCTTAATGCCCATTTAATCGGGTCCAGTTTTCATCCATTTTATGAGTCAAATCACTCTACATTTTCTGATCTTTTAGGGCTTCTGGCTGGTGTTGGCTTTGATGGTGTCTAGCCACCATTTTTGGGGGGTATCCTTGTTTCCTTTTATTGCTGACCATTCCAAGCATAACTCCTTTTTCCAGGAAGTTTGAATGCATGACATGACTAAAATAAATAAGGCAGAATTTTGTGGTTTTGCCTTCCAGAGGTACGTCTGGTGTTATTATTGTGCTTAGAGCTTGGATTTAAATAATAAATGGGATTTAGATTAGTCATCATTGATTTGTCTCCACTTCCTTGATTTCAATAGACCCATAGCCAACAGAGCCATTCCTTGCCTGCCTTTCCCTCTGTTTGTTTCCCCTTGTCCTTCCCTCTACCAGCATCACCTACTGGCAGGAAACATGCTACCACCATGACCTGGTGCCTTTCGGCTTGGCATTCTTCACTACAATGTAAATTTAAGCATGTCTTCTGATCCTGTTGCCCCACTCCCCCACGTACACGCTCTTCATTTCATTTCTAAGAGCTCAACGTACCCTATGTCAGGCTAAAAGACTGCAAGTTTCATCTGAAAAGCAGAATTGATTGCAGGTAGTCCTCGACTTACGATCAAAATTGAGCCCAGAATGTATGTTACTGAATGAGAAATTTGTTAAGTGAGTTTGGTCCCATTTTATAACCTTTCTTGCCACATTTGTTAAGCGAATCAACTGCAGTTGTTAAATTAGTAACCCGGTTGTTAAGTGAATCTGGCTTCCCTCTTGACTTTGCTTGTCAGGAGGTCTCAAAAAATGGTCACATGGCCTCTGAGACCCTGCAACCATCATAAATATGAACCCGTTGTCAAGCATCTCATTGTAAATCATGTGACCATGGGAATGCTGCAACGGTCATAAGTGTGAAAAATGGTCATAAGTCCATTTTTTCAGTGCCGTTGTAAGTTCAAGCGGTCAGTAAACAAACTGTTGTAAATTGAGGACTACCTGTACACTGGGTGCAAGAAAATCTGTTGAAATTCACAAGGAACCTTTGAACATTCAAAAACATTTCTTTCTGTGTTTCTCAATATTCATTTTTGTAAAAAAAACCCTTTGGGGAGGTGATTGTGAGAATGGTGCATTTGCTTGTATGTGGCAGGTGAGATGGGGGAAAGGAGAAAAAGAAGTGTGCTGTGAGAAGCAATTGGGCTGATATTCAATCAAATTCATCATTTTGTATGGAGAAGTAAAAAATCCTAACAGAGAAGGCAAAAACCACACAAAATGTAGAGGAGTTCAGAGCTAACATTGAAGAAACAATGCAAGAGCAGTTTGTTAAACTTCCATTTAGTCCTGGGAATGAAAAGGGAATGAGAAAGTAACTCAAGATAACCTCCATCTTGATATTCTTTCGTATAAGAGGGAGCAGAAAGCAGCTCTGCCAGGCTTCCAAGATTATATTCATATCCCCTACAGATGTAAAGTCTTTATGGTGTCTATTTCCTGACCTGGCTATCTTGAAGGACTTAGAAGAGATGCTAGCCAGTAATTGGAAGTGGACATGACCTCAATTTTAGATAGTCCAGCACCTGTGGCATCATCAGGATACATTTCATCTGAATTTTGGTCATATTCCCTCAGCAGACATAGTCAACCAGATATTAAGACTAAATTAAGCATTTTTATCCACCTATTCAGTCCTTCTCAAGGACTGAATATTGCAGCATCCAATGTCTGGACTCTTTTGCCTTTCTTATGGTCACTTGTTAAAGTATGGGGTGATATGTGGCAGGTGCTTGTCCGTTTGGTTTCTAAAGTTCCAGAGGGCTTTAGTCTTCATTTTCTATTATTTTGTCTATTTTGTGACACCTATCCATTCTTGCTTGCAGGCAAATAGTATTTCTTCCATCTAATAGTATTAGATGTTCAGCGTACAGGTACCATTGTTGCTACTTTGCCATGCCGTTGCTTATTGTCAGTCTGTGCAATCTTCTTGAAGCAGCTAACTGGGTGGTCTACTGTTTCTTCAGCTTCTTTGCAGAGATGGCATTTGCTGCCTGTTACTACCTTCTCAATTCTTGCTTTGTATGCATTTGATCTTAAGGCTTGGTCTTGTACAGCCAGAATTAAATCCTATTCTTGTATAGCCTAGTCTTTTTCTTAATTTTCCCTTTCTTAGCCATTCTCAGGTCTTGGTGTTATCTGTTTTGCCTGCTAGTTTCTTTTTTATTTATTTATTTATTGGAATTTGTCAAACAAAAACAAGAAGTAAGAGAATAAAAATACAATGTCAGGGACGATAGGCATGTTAGTGCACTTATGCACGCCCCCTCTAATGACCACTTAAGTGTGAAGTAAGGTCCACGGAAGTCAATTTGTGACTGAAACTGTGAAAATTTGTAGCTGAAACAACTGAATCAGGTAGGGCATTCCAGACTTTGACAAATCTGAAATCATAATTTTTACAGTCAAGTTTAGAACGATTTACATTGAGTATAAAGCGATTGTTCATGCATATATTATTGCGACTAAAACAGAAAAAGTCCTTTACAGGTAAAACATTACATGTAATTTTGTATGCAACACTTAAGTCCGACCGCAAGTGATGCAATTCCAGGTTATCCAAACCAAGAATTTTGAGCCTAATAGTGTAGCGAATTCAATTATGTACAGAACTGTACAAGACTTTTCTTGTGAAAAGAAAATATTGTAATATTTTGTAATATTTTGTCTTGCCATGTCTCTTTTCTATTCCTGTTTTGCTCTTCCTTATAAGCCAGTTTGGTTTCCCCAGTATTCAGTAAGCCTTCATGGTTTGCTTCAATGTCCGTCAGATATTTTTCCAATGCCCCTTTTTCTTCTTCAGCTGTCTGGCATACTTGCAGCATTCCACACCCACCTATTTGCCTTGGTAAATATTCTGTCAACATCACTGCCTAGATGAAGGAGTGATTCATAGTCATTATTTTTCTGGTCTTCCTATCCCAGGACTTTTAGGTCTGCTTAAGGCAAGTCACTATTCCAGCTGTGTATCTAATGCCTAGAATTGCTCAGGCGTTAATTGCCTTGATGGTATTTATTATTGTTATTGTGATTCATTGCACAGTCAGTCAGATGTTTAGACTGGATTTGACATTTTTGTCCACCTATTAAATACTTCCCAAGGAGCTGAGATAAGCAGACATTGTTTATGGTTCTTATTATTATTACTTTGAATATAAGGTTAGTGTCGCTAATTTGCAGTTGCAACAATAAGACATGGAAATGTGACATTCTCTGGGCTAAAGGTGATGAGGATTAGGAAGATAATTATTAGAGAACTTTACCTCCCTGAACAGATCTCATGAATTAGCCAGCGTCCTTGGCTAGGTCTTCTTCTCAAAACAAACCTGTAAGGCTGTACTCTCCTCCAGTAGGTGGAATGCTGATCTTGCTCCTGGACACTGAGCAGCCATACCAGGTGAAATCAAGGGGCACAAAGAAATTGAGAGAAGAGAGAAGCAATGGCAGAGCTTTCTGCTCTGGTACTTGCCCTTTGGAACATTGTTTTGCTGGAGGTCAGGTTGGCATTGGCCTTGCCCTTGCAAGGGCCAGAAACATGGTTCTATTATCTGGTCTGGAGACCAGTGGTGGAATTCAAATATTTTTACCACTGGTTCGGTGGGCATGGCTTGGTGGGCGCACTTTGCATGTGTGCACACACTTTGTGGGCACGCGCACCAAACATGCACTTTGCATAGGTGCAGAGGCATTCTAACTCACCTCCTGCAAGCCTGCACTCTTCCGGTCGCTTCAGCAGCTGCCGCGCAGCACTCTGCTGTGCCGCGCAAAGCAGCTGTGCTTCAAATTCAGAGGATAAAGGTGAGTATGGGAGCCTGGGTGGGTGGGCCCAACAGCAGGGTGGGCCCAACAGCAGGATGGGTGGGCCCAACAGCAGAGTGGCGGAAAGAACTGGTTTGGTCTCCGCTGCTCATCACTGCTACCGGCTCGGCAGAACCAGGCCAAACTGGTAGAATACCACCACTGCTGGGGACCTTGTAATGTGTCTATGATGTCTGTAAAGTAGCAATGGCAATAGCACTTAGACCTATATGCTGCTTCATAGTGCTTTACAGCCCTCTCTAAGCGGTTTACAGAGTCAGTATATGGCCCCCATTTTACCGACCTCAGAAGGATGGAAGACTGAGTCAACCTTGAGCCTGTTAAGATTTAAACTGCCAAATTTCAGGCAGCCGGCAGTCAGCAGAAGTAGCCTGCAGTACTGTGTTCTAACCACTGCGCCACCTCGGCTCTTAAGTAGTTACACAGGTAGCCCTCAATTTACAACAGTTCATTTAGTAACCAAAGTTAGAGCGGCACTGGAAAAAATGACTTGTGACCATTTTTCACACTCAGGACTGCTGCAGCATCCCCAAGGTCATGGCATCAAAATTAAAATGCTTGGCAACTGGCTTGTATTTATGATGGTTGCAATGTCCCAGGATCAGGTAATCACCTTTTGCAACCTTCTGACCAGCAAAGTCAATGGGGAAGCCAAGTTCACATAACATCCATGTTATTAGTTTAACAACTGCAATGGTTCACTTAACAACTGTGGCAAGAAAAGTCATAAAATGGGGTAAAACTCACTTAACTGTCTCACATAGCAAGAGAAATGTTGGCCTCAATTGTGGTCACAAGTTTAGGACAACCTATATTGTTATATAACATTCACAAATTGTACTTTATAGCTTTGGTGTTTTTAGCGCTTTGAGTGTGTTTTGTTATGTTTTTTGTTACTTATTGTACTGTTCTTTTAAAAAACTTTTTTCACCATCTACATCAATTGTGGGATTCAAAATTTTTTACTACCGGTTCTGTGGGTGTGGCTTGGTAGATGTGGCCATGTGACTGGGTGGACGTGGCTTTTTTTTCCCGCTTTTTTGAAGCCAACTCCACCCATTTTTGGGGCCTTCTGGGCTTCAGAGGAGCCTCTGGTGGGGGGAGTTTCTGCTCCCCTAAGGCTCCTCTGAGGCTCAGGAAGGAAAAAAAAACAGCATAGGAGGGCCACGCAGCACCCCTCCACACTCCATTTTGGGAGCTTCCTGGCCTCAGAAGAGCCTCTGGGGGTGGCGGGGGTGAGCCATTTTTTGCCTTCCTGGGCCTCAGCAAGGGGAATCCTGGCACAGCTGATCGCATGTACAGCTGATTGTCGGGAGAGGAAAAAAAAGAAAGAAATAGCTGAGGTGAACGTCAGGCGGATGGGGTGAAGCAAGCATCAGGTGGGACGGTGAGTGGGTCAGGGGCGTGGCCAGCCAGAACTTACTACCGGTTTGGCGACCCATGCCAAATTCTTGCTACCGGTCGCCTGATCTGGTGCGAACCAGCTGAATACCACCACTGATCCCCATATGTAAGATGGGAGGTGATTTACCAAATAAATGAATAAATATGCATTATCCAGAAATGTACCACAGAAATTGAATGAGACATAAAAAGTTCTAGCGATATGGAAAAGGAATGGTTGACTTCAAACAAGCCAATTTTCAAAGGTTGCTAACAGCAGATGAATACATAGACAGCAGTAGCGACTTAGGTGGAATTTTTCTTCGGGGTATTTATTCTTTGATCATTGCTCTGTGCTTTAAAATCCCATAAAAGCTGTTTGGAAACAAGTGAGTTACCAGTATCTATCTACCAGGCTTCTTCATCCTTTAAACACAAAAGGCATAATTATTTAGGCTGTGAGGCGAAAAATCCAAAATCCACATTAAAGCTTAGGGTTTCAGATTAATGTGCAAGCATTTGATTTTCTTGAACTTTTCACCAGACAAGATGGTTTAAAGAAAATTAAAGGGGAAGAAAAAGAGAGCATGTAGTCATTTGTTCAAACCATGGTTATGCTCAAGGAAAGTCTTTGATGTAATATGAGCATCAACTGCAGACAAGCAAATTAATCCTATCATCTGCAGAAGTGGTGTTATGTTTCACCAAAGACTCTCCCAAAAATTGCTGGAATAATGAAAAAAAAAAAAGCAGCCTGCTGGTTTCCCATCCCACCCACCCCCTGGGGAGTAAATGGCATTTTAATTCATTAAAATAATGATGATTGTGTATGCTGGGTCAGTTCAAGCCAAATTGGTAAGTGATCCAGACATCTGTATTCAAATCTCTACCAGTGGCATACTGAATGAAAAGGCCACTGTTCATATCCACATATAAAAATCCTGCTTTCTGTATTCTGAATAAACATATATTTTTTTAAAACAAAAATCTTAGACCAACTTCAGAAAGTTGGTCAGTGGCTTAAACATCTTTACTTTACTTTACTTTACTTTACTTTACTTTACTTTACTTTACTT